GCTGGGACTCACACCCACCTGTGTCCGATGGGGCTGGGACTCACACCCACCTGTGTCCGATGGGGCTGGGACTCACACCCACCTGTGTCCGATGGGGCTGGGACTCACACCCACCTGTGTCCGATGGGGCTGGGACTCACACCCACCTGTGTCCGATGGGGCTGGGACTCACACCCACCTGTGTCCGATGGGGCTGGGACTCACACCCACCTGTGTCCGATGGGGCTGGGACTCACACCCACCTGTGTCCGATGGGGCTGGGACTCACACCCACCTGTGTCCGATGGGGCTGGGACTCACACCCACCTGTGTCCGATGGGGCTGGGACTCACACCCACCTGTGTCCGATGGGGCTGGGACTCACACCCACCTGTGTCCGATGGGGCTGGGACTCACACCCACCTGTGTCCGATGGGGCTGGGACTCACACCCACCTGTGTCCGATGGGGCTGGGACTCACACCCACCTGTGTCCGATGGGGCTGGGACTCACACCCACCTGTGTCCGATGGGGCTGGGACTCACACCCACCTGTGTCCGATGGGGCTGGGACTCACACCCACCTGTGTCCGATGGGGCTGGGACTCACACCCACCTGTGTCCGATGGGGCTGGGACTCACACCCACCTGTGTCCGATGGGGCTGGGACTCACACCCACCTGTGTCCGATGGGGCTGGGACTCACACCCACCTGTGTCCGATGGGGCTGGGACTCACACCCACCTGTGTCCGATGGGGCTGGGACTCACACCCACCTGTGTCCGATGGGGCTGGGACTCACACCCACCTGTGTCCGATGGGGCTGGGACTCACACCCACCTGTGTCCGATGGGGCTGGGACTCACACCCACCTGTGTCCGATGGGGCTGGGACTCACACCCACCTGTGTCCGATGGGGCTGGGACTCACACCCACCTGTGTCCGATGGGGCTGGGACTCACACCCACCTGTGTCCGATGGGGCTGGGACTCACACCCACCTGTGTCCGATGGGGCTGGGACTCACACCCACCTGTGTCCGATGGGGCTGGGACTCACACCCACCTGTGTCCGATGGGGCTGGGACTCACACCCACCTGTGTCCGATGGGGCTGGGACTCACACCCACCTGTGTCCGATGGGGCTGGGACTCACACCCACCTGTGTCCGATGGGGCTGGGACTCACACCCACCTGTGTCCGATGGGGCTGGGACTCACACCCACCTGTGTCCGATGGGGCTGGGACTCACACCCACCTGTGTCCGATGGGGCTGGGACTCACACCCACCTGTGTCCGATGGGGCTGGGACTCACACCCACCTGTGTCCGATGGGGCTGGGACTCACACCCACCTGTGTCCGATGGGGCTGGGACTCACACCCACCTGTGTCCGATGGGGCTGGGACTCACACCCACCTGTGTCCGATGGGGCTGGGACTCACACCCACCTGTGTCCGATGGGGCTGGGACTCACACCCACCTGTGTCCGATGGGGCTGGGACTCACACCCACCTGTGTCCGATGGGGCTGGGACTCACACCCACCTGTGTCCGATGGGGCTGGGACTCACACCCACCTGTGTCCGATGGGGCTGGGACTCACACCCACCTGTGTCCGATGGGGCTGGGACTCACACCCACCTGTGTCCGATGGGGCTGGGACTCACACCCACCTGTGTCCGATGGGGCTGGGACTCACACCCACCTGTGTCCGATGGGGCTGGGACTCACACCCACCTGTGTCCGATGGGGCTGGGACTCACACCCACCTGTGTCCGATGGGGCTGGGACTCACACCCACCTGTGTCCGATGGGGCTGGGACTCACACCCACCTGTGTCCGATGGGGCTGGGACTCACACCCACCTGTGTCCGATGGGGCTGGGACTCACACCCACCTGTGTCCGATGGGGCTGGGACTCACACCCACCTGTGTCCGATGGGGCTGGGACTCACACCCACCTGTGTCCGATGGGGCTGGGACTCACACCCACCTGTGTCCGATGGGGCTGGGACTCACACCCACCTGTGTCCGATGGGGCTGGGACTCACACCCACCTGTGTCCGATGGGGCTGGGACTCACACCCACCTGTGTCCGATGGGGCTGGGACTCACACCCACCTGTGTCCGATGGGGCTGGGACTCACACCCACCTGTGTCCGATGGGGCTGGGACTCACACCCACCTGTGTCCGATGGGGCTGGGACTCACACCCACCTGTGTCCGATGGGGCTGGGACTCACACCCACCTGTGTCCGATGGGGCTGGGACTCACACCCACCTGTGTCCGATGGGGCTGGGACTCACACCCACCTGTGTCCGATGGGGCTGGGACTCACACCCACCTGTGTCCGATGGGGCTGAGACGCACACCCACCTGTGTCCGATGGGGCTGGGACTCACACCCACCTGTGTCCGATGGGGCTGGGACTCACACCCACCTGTGTCCGATGGGGCTGGGACTCACACCCACCTGTGTCCGATGGGGCTGGGACTCACACCCACCTGTGTCCGATGGGGCTGGGACTCACACCCACCTGTGTCCGATGGGGCTGGGACTCACACCCACCTGTGTCCGATGGGGCTGGGACTCACACCCACCTGTGTCCGATGGGGCTGGGACTCACACCCACCTGTGTCCGATGGGGCTGGGACTCACACCCACCTGTGTCCGATGGGGCTGGGACTCACACCCACCTGTGTCCGATGGGGCTGGGACTCACACCCACCTGTGTCCGATGGGGCTGGGACTCACACCCACCTGTGTCCGATGGGGCTGGGACTCACACCCACCTGTGTCCGATGGGGCTGGGACTCACACCCACCTGTGTCCGATGGGGCTGGGACTCACACCCACCTGTGTCCGATGGGGCTGGGACTCACACCCACCTGTGTCCGATGGGGCTGGGACTCACACCCACCTGTGTCCGATGGGGCTGGGACTCACACCCACCTGTGTCCGATGGGGCTGGGACTCACACCCACCTGTGTCCGATGGGGCTGGGACTCACACCCACCTGTGTCCGATGGGGCTGGGACTCACACCCACCTGTGTCCGATGGGGCTGGGACTCACACCCACCTGTGTCCGATGGGGCTGGGACTCACACCCACCTGTGTCCGATGGGGCTGGGACTCACACCCACCTGTGTCCGATGGGGCTGGGACGCACACCCACCTGTGTCCGATGGGGCTGAGACGCACACCCACCTGTGTCCGATGGGGCTGGGACTCACACCCACCTGTGTCCGATGGGGCTGAGACTCACACCCACCTGTGTCCGATGGGGCTGGGACTCACACCCACCTGTGTCCGATGGGGCTGAGACGCACACCCACCTGTGTCCGATGGGGCTGGGACTCACACCCACCTGTGTCCGATGGGGCTGAGACGCACACCCACCTGTGTCCGATGGGGCTGGGACTCACACCCACCTGTGTCCGATGGGGCTGGGACTCACACCCACCTGTGTCCGATGGGGCTGAGATGCACACCCACCTGTGTCATCCATCAGAACCAGACACTCTGCTTTCAAAGTGGCTGAACAACAAGGGGCCACCCTGCGCTCACTGCAGTGTGGGAACGAACACCCACGGGCTCTCACTCCACACAGAACTCGGAGCCAGTCGCTGCACGGTCCCCTGAACAGGGGCCACACTCAACCTGAACGTGCCCCGGGCCTGAACAGGACCCAGGCCTCTGCTCTCTCCCTGGGCTGTGGGCTGTCCTGAGAGGGCGGGAAGGGCTCTGAGAACGCTTGTCATCATGAGGAGCAGGCTGGTGGCCCCCGTGGCCCTGAAGCTTTCCCCAGGCTGCCCCCTGTGTCCAACGCGCTCTGCAGCAAGGCTGGGGACACGGAACGCAGGTGTGTGTGCACGAGTGTGCGAGCATGTGGGAGAGTGTGTCAGAGTGTGAGAACCGGGAGATGGTGCACAGAGGTGCAATCACAGCAGAAGGAAGGGGGGGCACCGAGGCGGGCCGGGCAGGGGCATGCGTGAGACTGCGTGTGAGCATCCGTGAGTCTGTCTGAGCGTGTGTATATGAGAGAGCTGGCGGCTGTGTGTGTGGGAGGTGCCACAGAAGTGGTGAGCAGGCAGAAGGGAGGAGAGGCTGAAGCACCCTGGACACAGCCTGCTCAGCGGGGGGCAGAGCTGACCATGGGCGCGCACCGTCCTCACGCCATTCACTGACGGCCACAGGACAGCGGCCACCGGGGGTGAGGGTCCCTGGACAGAGGGTACCACCACCAGCAGCATGCTCATGACACCCGCCTTCATCTCACCATCTCCCTCCTCACGGACTCCACACGCCTGGCGGATAAATGCAAACTGCTCCACCTGAACCCCCAGGCTTCGGACCCTAGGGGAGAGTGCCCCAGAATCCCTGATTCTCGTCTGTGTAATGGGATAATAATGATTAACTCAGTTCGGAGTGGAAATGAACTGAAATAAATAAGCAAATTTTAACCCACTGCTGAAGATGGCTTTTCTCCACCCTTCCTCTCTCCCGGCTTCTCCCAACCCCATCCTTCCTCAGGGTCCCCAAACACAGCCTCCATCCTGGGCTCGATGGCCCCACCGCCATCTCCCAGGCACGGCTCCCCTCAGCAGGGACTCGCAGCGACCACCCTCTCCTGAACTCCGGCCCTCACTCCCGCCACCTCCCGCCCGGTTCTCTTTTTATTCTGCTGAGCGCTCCCATGTGGGGCAGGCAGGCCCTTCTGGGCCACCATCCTATGAGCCTACGGGAGGGAGGTCCACGTCTCAGGCTTACTCTGCCTGCTCTTCGCTGGCCCCTTGAAAACAGATGTTTGGTCCCTAGCAAGCAGCCCTCTGCGGCTGTGGCCCAGGAAGCCTGTGCGCGTCCCCGCCTGGCGGTCACATGCCTGGGAGAGCTGCCCGTCTAACCTGCTGAAGATGCGAGGCTCTGCAGGTGACGGGCTGCTCAAAACAGACGCCCCCCCGGGGATGACCATGCCCACGCATCTGCCACAGCGCACGCGCCCAGGTGGCCGGCTCGCCTACCTTCCTGATGCCTTCCGAAGGGCTGGACACGCAGTTGTCAGCACCTCCGTTCTTGCTGATGGTCCGCCAGAGTTCGGCAAACGTGCTGTCCTGCTCCAGGGGGTTGGTGCCCTTGGCTCGGAAGTACTCGTACACAGCAGAGTCCCGCACGGTGCCGTAGGACAGCTCCGCCTGCCTGGACAGGTCCTGGAATGTCCTGAAATGCAGAAAGGCTGTAAACCACGAGTCCAGGCCACCCACTGAAGGCTACAAATGGGCTGCAAGGCCTCCTGAGGTCCAAGCCAGTGGTGGTCCAGGACCCTCACTCTCCACGCCCAAGCCAGCTGCACAGATCCCTCAGCCGGGAGGGTGACTTGCCAGGGCCTCCTGCTATCGAAGTTGCGTCTCCTCGTGCAGGTTAATTCAGTGAAGTTCCAAACACCTAAAACCAGGTCCTGTGCTGAGCTCAGGGACAGAGGGTGAATGAGACGCGACTCCTGCCCTCAGGAGCTTAGAGTCTAGCTGTGGAAACAGCCGGTCAGAGCGCCAGGGCAGCGTGAGAGGCCGGGCACTGGCAGTCTCCACCCCACGCCCAGCGCACAGGGAAGGACACGCTGGCGAGGTGGGGGCGGCGACTGGCCTCCCCCTGCGCCAGCCCGGGGCGACGCACTCAGAAACTGGATTTCGAGGGAGGCCGTCCACAGCTCCCCGCTGCTCTGAGGTTCCACGAGCTGTCACTTTTTGAGCATCTCCTATCAATTTATTTTTCAATAAAGGAATAAATCTGGGCTTTTATATGAGATCACTTGATTTTTAAGTGCCAACAATTATTTAAAAGATGGCAAAGATAAAACACTGCAAGGGCCTTGGGCTTGTTATACACGGAAGAGAAGCAGGGAGCTCAGGCCAGGTCCCCGCTGAAGGAAGGGGGTGCCCCAGGAAGTCCCAGAAACAGCCGAGCGCCGCAGAGGAAAGGCCCTGGTGCAGTCAGGCCTGAAGGACGACTGAGCACAAAGTCCTCGGCTGCCCCGAGATGAGCAGTGCCCGGCTCAGTGTGTTGAGAGAATGTCACACACACAACAGAATTGTAAACAAATAGTCCAGGCTTCGTCCTGGTCGCTCTTTTCCTATTTCTATTCTTGAAATCTGTCTCTCCTTTCATCCACCAGAATATCACCCCCACCTCTCACTGTCACTGTCCCAAGGAGATCCAGTCTCCTGCCCCTGACCTACCCAGCCCTCCAGCCCTGGCTCCATCTCCGGCTGATGCCCCCCCCCCCCC